CTCTGAGTTTCTGAGGCCTTACCTTTGTCATCTCTTACAAGCCAGGACTGAAGGCCCTTCTTCGCCTCTTCAGCCAAAAAAGTCTGCCCTCCCTCAACATTTCATTTTCACTTTCCATTTCTGGTTGCACGTCCAACCCACTGTGCCTATGTCCCTAGTCTCTATTCATCCATTCATCTCTCCTCTTTCCACAGTTCTCTATTTCACTTTCCCTGAAAGAATGCCCCCCTCCCCCCATCACTTATACTCACTCTGCTCTGGAAGTGGACAAAGTCAATCTGCACTGGGTCTGAGCTTCTCGTTCATAGCCCTTGCCATTCCTGGTGCCCTCATGAAACCAGGGAACAGGTGATTCTCCTAACCTATATATACCCCCCTCCATCAGTTGGTGTCCAACTGTTGTGGGGACATCCCGCAACTCTCAAGCTAGTTGCTGCTAGTGCTGCCACTTGTTCACTGACTTGTGTTCCATCACCTGCATCATACATTCTCATTTACTTTATTCTCAATCACTGTTCCTCCAAAACGCTGTGGTTTGTGTCTGTCTCTGGTTTCCATCAGGATAAAAGATATATTTTTTTGTTTAATGATGGGCTGTTTAGAATGGTGAAAAAGGTTACCATTCATTTAGCTTTCATTTTAAGGAGTAATTTAGTCCTGAGCTGGGCCATTTTTTATTTGATAAGAAATAGGTTCTCTTTTCTCCTACATGGTATTTGTGCCTTTGTTGTAGGGTGTTACAGGGTAGTAGGTTCTGTTTTTCTTGGTACTTTAAGAAAGAAGGCCTCTGAATCTCTAAATATATAAATATTTGTTTTTTTTAAGTTTACTGCCTGGTTATTATGTTGTTGCCTCATTGTACTGGACCACAACATGTGCTCATAAGTGTTCCACTCTGTTTTCCTTGACAAAAGGTGGAGTGTAATTTAGAATCTTCTTGCACAGAAAGCTGGTGTAATTTTCCTAATTAGTATTTCAACTTCCCTTTTTTGAATAATGTTAATGTGATGACATCTGCAGAATGAGAGGAGGTCAGAAAGTGGTCTTGGAGCACATTTTTATAAAAGGGCAAAGTGAGAGTTTAATAAGGGAAGAGGACAGAAACACCAGGGAGAAAGAGAAGGGATGGTGAAGAGATCTGATGAAAGCTTTTGTAGAAGCAATGGTAGCTTCCAGCAAAGGTATCTTTAAAAAAGGTTTCTAAAGAAGTGAGGGCAGGGATCTGTGTCAGCATGTAATCTGCAAAGAATACATATATACATATTGTAACGCAACGGGGGCTCAGGCGGGCGCCGTTGCCGCATTAGGTCGGCCCCATCCCGACTGAGGCTCGAACCCGGGACTCTCGCGTCTCTCTGCAGCGACCCAGCCCCGTGAGCTAAAGAGAGATCTCTCCACAGCCCAGTAGCTGTGGTCCTGCTATCACAGGGAAGGGCGGTGACATCACCTGCTCTGGTACGCCAGCTCTTACACAGTGCCTGTCGGCCATAAGCGTTACAATATATATTCTGTTACTGTTCCAGGTGCCAATTTAAATATCCATCATAGGGGCTTTCTTGCAACACATCAGCTGTGTCATATTGTATTGCTTCAGCAGCTGATAAGATGGAAATATATTTGACCAGATATCACTTTCTTTGAAAATGTTCCATCAAAAAGCAGTGTGAGCAGGAGGGAGGGCAGACTCACCTGGGTCTCCCGGGAATCCTGGGTCTCCCTTGGGTCCAGGTATATCGCAGATGCCAGGAGGGCCAGCAGAGCCATTGTGTCCTATACACCCATCTGGTCCTCTTTCGCCTTATAAGATAAGATCACTTTCTTGGACATATATAATCTCTTGTATTACGAATGTGTCTTTTTGCATATCGCAACTTGCTCTCCATGAGACACCCAGACAGGGAGAGAAGCTGGGGGTCAGAGCGCAGGGTCAGCCATTTATACTCCACCCCTGAAGCAGTTGGGGTTAAGAGCCTTGCTCAAGCGCCCAACGGAGTACGATTCCTCTCCCAGCCTCAGGATACAAACTGGCAACCTTCCAGCCACAGGCGCAGATCCTTAGCCACAGAGCCACCACACCACCAAAGTAAAAAAGGTGTATAGTCCAGAGGAGACCTTGCTGTGGTCCTATAATATGTTCAATGTAATATATTCTTCTCCTCATACTTTCATATATTCACCATTTGACCACACAAAACTTTTTCTGAACAGTAATCAGGAGCTGGTTACACTCCTAGGTTTGCCAAAAGTTGCTTTGAAAATTCTGACATCTGACAGTGCGTTTGTGAACCCTTGCTTAGCTTGACACTGAGGGTTTCATCACAACAAGTTGAAGACTTCATATTACCTTTTAGCCCTGGTGGACCATAACTTCCTGGAGGTCCAGGAGGGCCTTTATAGCCTCTAGGGCCTTGTTCCCCAGGTGCTCCAAGTCCACCATTGTCCCCTTCGTCTCCATTATTTGGTAATAATGGTCCTGGGAAGCCAGGAATTCCTCGGGGTCCTGAGATTTAAGGATAAAGCCTTTAATAGATGCACAGTCTTTCTCATGGTTGATGTCATATAATGTTCTCCTCAGCTAAACCCAAAATAAAGCTATAAGTGAAACCTAGCATCTAAACTTCAAATAAATAGTCAAAACTGCATACAGGTAGCACAAAACAAGCAACACTCAAAAAATGATATGTTGCTGTAAGTATTACAAGAACACTGCACACTATTGCAGGAGTTCAATACTGAAGGAACCTGACAGGCAATATAGCTTATGTTCCACCATTATGTGGTTAAAATGTTACGTGATATCCCATTTAACCTGCCTGGTCAATTCTGTTTCTCAATTAAAAACACAAAAACTCCTCTAATTTTGAACCAATGGTTCAGCTGCTGTTCATTTAACATCCCTCCAGCAGGTGACTCTGCTCATTTACCCCAGGGCCTATTTTGTAAAAATGTTCAGCCAGTGATCTACTCATATACAGTATGTGTATATGTGGTTGTAAATTTACTTCTGCCGTTCAGTGTTATAGATTTTGCTAAATTGGGGCCTAGTGAGGATGCAAGGGGGCTAGTTGCATTTAAGAAGGAGGCATGCTGCTGTAAAATACACAACACATAATGCAAATATAAATTGCCCATGAACACAGAAAAAAGAAATGTATTCAAGTTTGTAACATGGTGGTAATGGAGGTTATAATTCTTACCTGGTAACCCATCTCTGCCAGGGCACCCCATTTCACCACATGGGCCACTTGGACATGTCCCACAGCAGGATCCTGGACTGCCAGGAGGGCCAGGTGGGCCCAGGAGACCTGGGGAAATAAGTGTCAGTACAAACAAATCAGCAATGTGTTGATTTACAGGAGACAAAGTTGGCATGAAGAGCACAAGACAGACAATTACATTCCACAACTGAACAGTCTCCAGATCTCTGTGCTATTGAAAATCAGTAGAACTGTAAGAAGTGGTGCAGTTCAGTCCCTTATACCACTTTGCAACCGGAAATACAGATGCAATTCCTAGACAAATGATCTACAAATATTAAATCCTTGTGGGATAAATGCCATGATTTGTTCTTCTTACAGCTCACAGAAATCCAAAAGAAGAAATCAGCCAGCAGCTACTCACAACTGGCAATCCACTGAAACTAAGCAGGTGTGAGCCTAGCCATCACCTGAAAGAGGTGTTAGTGGGACCAGCAGGGAGTGCTCTCCCTGCGGTTTGTGTGGGTCCTAATGTCCCAGTCCAAGGTACCATCCTTCGGGTGAGATGTAAAACCAAGGTCCTGACACTTTGTGATCACAAAAAAAATTCCAAGGCTTTTCTCAAAAAGAGTAGGAGTGTTACCCCGGCATCCTAACCAATTTTCACATTGGTCTTTACCAATCTTGGCCTCCTAATAATCCCCATCTATAAATTGGCTTCATTACTCTGCTCTCCTCCCCACTGATAGCTGATGTGTGGTGAGCGTTCTGGTGCACTATGGTTGCCGTCACATCATCCAAGTGGATGCTGCACATTGGTGGTGGTGGAGGAGAGAACTCATTACCTGTAAAGCAGTTTGAGTGGGGTGCCAAAAAAAGAGCTATATAAATGAAAGTAATTATTTATAATATTAAATCCACATGTGGGTGTAATTCTTAATATTTAGGCCAGTGGGTGTATTTTTTTTTATTCTTCCTGCTCAATTGTTGAAAGCCCATTAAGGCTGCCAGCACATACTGTATCTCTGAACAAATCTTGAAGTGTGTGGTGTCCCAGATACTGTACTACCTGGGAGGCCAGCGGGCCCTTGCTGGCCCTTAGGGCCTGGTAGAGAGATCCCTTCATGTCCTTGATCTCCCTTATCACCTTCATCGCCCGGAATCCCCCTGGGCCCAGGGGGACCAATCTGATTTTCACATTTAGCTGAGTTCAGAAAAAAAAAAACAAATCAGATTTGATGACTTACAACAATGAATTGTAAACAGTATAATCAAGTGCTTTTAAATCCATTTCCATGCACACATCTCAAAACATGGTACTTGAATTTTCCAAAAAGGTCTATCAATAATGTCAATTAAATGTAACCGGCACAAACAAAAAAAATACTGGAACATAAATACAGCCGTGAAGGACACCAGAAGGACTCTTTCCTAGGCCTATCAATGACCCAATGAGTGCAATAACTATAATTGCAGAAGAACCCTGACTGATATTTTTCAAACAGGTTATTAATGGTCAGGAATTCATTTACATGTTTTAATGGAACCTTTCTCTAAATAACAAACGATTCTAAATGTGTCTGGAATGAGCTACAACCAAACTATTGAAGGTGGGTTTTTTAAAACTATAATCAATGGAATACTTCATATAGGCCTTCTAGTCAATTGTTTTTAAAATGTGGAAAGATGGTTGCAGTACTTTACAAATGTCGTGCCTTCTGTCAAATTGCAGTTCCTGTGAGGCCTGAACTATTGCTATCAGTGCTGTTAGTGACTCCTGCTGTGGGGCTAAAGACTGACCTGGAGCACCCTTTTCTCCCTTTTGTCCATCCAGCCCATCAAGACCGTACAAGCCCGGGGAACCAGGTGGTCCTGAATGTGGGAAGAATAGAAATAACACAGTGAGGTCTTTCCTGCCATGAACAGGACAAAAAAACTGAAGTAATCAAAGTCCAGTAATAAAAATAAACTCTTGCAACAGATTAAGATTCTCAATTTTCTATATCACATTCACACCTTTTCACTGCTGGCTTCAACAAATTAGTTGGTCGTTTTTTTAACTGGCACCCTGGGCACTGTCCTCTTAGATTCACACCCTTGTTTGTGGCCGATCATGCCTGGACTCACATTGTCAGAACAATTTAGGATTTTTACTATTTTAATGATAAATTCACCTTGCAATTTTTGATTGCAATTAACAGTCTGCTTGCATGTTTGTTCAAATATGAAGCCCTTTACTTGTTTATGTACAAGGCATCCCCTTCAGGATAAATAACCGTGACTGTTCTTGTTGTAGATGTCATCAGAGAAATGGTTTACCTTGCACGCGCAAAGTAATGAAAAAGTAGGAAGTACATTATCAGCTTTGCATTGCTAGTATTTCTTCTGAACTGCTGAAGTAGCTCGTACTGAAAAACTGAAACCAGAAGATTCTATATACATTTGCATTGATCCCAAGTAGACTTGTGACATATACAATTTAGATTCAATCCTATTAATTTAGGATTCATAACTGGACTTGAAGGTTGTGGGTTCAAATCCCAGGTCAGACACTGCGTTTTTTGTAACCTTCACGTGAACCGTTCCTGTAAAATACCCAACTTTATAAACATGGGCAAATGTAAGTCGCTCTGTATAAAAGCATCAGCCAAATAAAACAGTAGGTAGTAAATATCATTAACCTTTGAATTTATGTACTTGACTCACTGTATGTAAGGTCTCAACAGAATTCTAAATTCAATCAACAGCAAATATCCTCCTCAAGGACTCATCAGGGCTAAATGGGTATGTTTAATGAGAGGTTAAGTATAAAAACTACAATGTAGAGATACTATGGATAGAACAGCAGGAACAGACTTGGCTCTACCTCTGAATCCTGGTGGTCCAGGGCGTCCCTGTGGGCCTGGGGCTCCAGGGAGACCTGGAGAGCCATCCAGGCCCTGCTGACCCTGTAGACCTTTCAGACCTTCGGGACCTTGAAGGAAGAAGAACATAAACTCGCATTAGCTAGGATGAGCATTTAAAGGGTGTGAATGCAACACTTCTTTATTGTATGGCTAGCTGAACTCATTTTGCACAACACATGAAGAAACGGCAAGATGCTACTTTGCTGTAATACGCCAAGGTCAAAAGAAAAAGGCTTAGATTATAAAATAATTGCATATCTCACCTGATTGTATTTGCTCTTAGTAATGGCTCTGATTTCAAAACTAGTTCATGATAAACATTTACAAAAATATTTTAATTACCTAACACAGTTCAATTATTTTCTTTGTGAACTGTTTTAAAACTAAAATGTAAAAGCTGTTGTAGCTCCATTCATTGGGAGGTCTTCAAACCTTTATTCTTTGATAAAAACAATTTGAATCAATATAAAAAGGTAGTTTTAATCAGTATTATTAATATCATATTAAAAGATACTGATTATTTAATCAGTAAATAATAGAGTAGGGTAGAGACTGCTCCACAGAGGGTAGTCACACAGGGTAGAGACTGGGCCCATAACAGATATCCTCTATAACCTTACCCCTTATTTTGTCACATACTGTACTGCACAAAGCATAAATCCAGTGAAGCTTCTGTACCTGGAGGGCCAGGATTCCCTGGCTGTCCTTTTAGGCCTGGTTTTCCACGATTTCCGGGATGCCCCGCAAATCCTGGATCGCCCTTATATCCCGGCACACCGTTAGGAGCTACAGCAGGAAAAACACAGGACTGTCAGAGAAATGTACAAAACAGCACCCAAAATACATGCAGCATGTCAAACATTTGTACCAATAAAAACTGTATCACAGAGCACTCAGTATATTTATATCAGTCTCATATTTACATCAGTGAAACAAACTTTATACCTATCTTCAATTGAAGACTGAAGTCACAGGTATAGCATATAACACTGCCAAATACTTATAGTATAGAAAACATTATTACATATAATACTTTATGATGGAGTAGAGTATATAACCATATGGAATGGCAAATCTAAGAAATACAATTAAAATACAATACAAATACAAAATACAATTCCTAAAATTAGGAAAATATTAGAGGACAAAAAGTTCAGTTTATTCTAATTCTAATCTGTGATTTTGAAATTTCATTTTGTCTTGTGTAAACAAACTTCTGAAGAAGAGCTCAGAAGTCACATGGGGCATTCAATTCAGGAACTCTGTAAAAGAGATCAAACGCTGTCACACTCACACAAGAATGCAAATGATGATGCTCAAAATGGCCAGGATGACACACACAAACTGCAAGGATGTTTGTCCGTTCAGTTTGCAACCCAAGAGGCAGGTTAGCAACAGAATTTGTTAGTGTGTGACATTGATTGTTGACTGAAGCAGAAAGCATATTGATAATCAGAACCCGTGCTGATTATGTTTTGTACAGTCTTTGTTTTTGTAGCAATTCATATGACATTTGGCAGAATACAAGAGTTATGGGTAAGCCATGTCTCTTTCTTTCATTTTAAAACCATGCTGCTTTATTACAAAGGACATCAAGGTGAATTTGTGTTTTGTTTGTCAAATATACCTCACAGGTGGGAAAACTTCTTTATTAATCAAAAACAACTTCCATACACATCCACACACTTTTGTTACTGCTTCACAAGATTTTGGGTGCCCTTCTAATAAACTGATGTTGCTGGACTGTACTATTCCTGTACTGCCACCTGCACATCATTCTCATCACTGAAGTTCTGACCTCAGAGAGTTCTGAAGCTGAAGTTCTGACCATAACTATGTGAGCAAGGGCAGAGTCTGACTATGCTGTATGCTGGAAAATAACAAATTTCAACCCTGTGAAACGTAACTGGTGGAAAATTCACCCATTTATATTATTGATTGACTTACATTTACATTATCTGGCAAGCTTTAATAGGAGCCACAGTCAACATTTATATCTTCATTATCTTATTAAACGGCCAGGTTTTTGTAGAGCCGGTCAGATTTAAGAGCTACCTTTGATTTCTCTTCTCTTGTGTGAGATGGAAGATATACATCTTACCGAGAGGAGCTGGTGTTCCTGCTTGTCCCTTTACCCCGGGCAATCCAGGTAAAACAATTGTAATTCCAATTTCACCTGTTCATTCAAAAACACTTTGTTACCTCTCTCATGAGTCCATTTATTATAATAACAAGCATTCAAAGGTCAGCCTTTCTTAAATCAGTCCTTCCCTATCTTTGTTTGGTTAAAAAAAGCATCAATTACTGTTTTCAATACTTTTAAAACACAGAAGTGACATTACTGTAGATGCCTTCTGGGAATAAGTGGTGAAAGCTTAATAAAATGGGTTGAAAAATGAAGAACTGTGGTCTCTGGCCGGTGTTTACATTAGTGAATCCAAAAGAAGAATTCCAAAAATCTAGTTCTTCCTTCAGTGCAAATCCAAAGTTCAGACACAAACAGGATGCCCTGCTACTGTACACGTGAGAATATTTCTGCAGCTGGCTTACGGACCAAGGCTGGACAAAAATGGAGATCCAGTCTTGAACTCTCTATTTGTAGAGTAATTAGAGAGAAGGAAGAAGGGGCAAATGGAACCATGGGATGCATTTTAGTAGCAGAAATGTCAGAAGACAAAGACAAAGGAATAATTGTAGAGTCTGACTGGTGTTAACAACAGTGAACAAAAAGCCAGTGGGCCTGATGCAGAAATTTAATTGTAAAATAAATTAAGTTTTGTTATTGTAACCTTACTGCTGGTTTCACTGTGAAAACTACACAGTGCTAACAGGAATCCCTAACAATTGTGCTGACGTATCTCCAGGTCATAGAGCACAATTGGTTCAGTTCCACTGTGGGTTGCACTGGAATTAGTCAGCCAGAGCCCTTCTGCCTCACTATGGGCAGGGGTAGGAATAGCAGGCTGCTAAATGGCTTGATGGGTAGACTAGTCAGAGGAGCCTGCCTGCACTTCCTCATTCTCCCCTTGGGGGTACAGTATGGGTATGTCACTTTGAGCATAGACGTACAGTCACAATTGATGATTCTAAAGTGGGTGGGTAAAAATTGAAAAAATAGCTGGAAATTCTAAATTAAAAATATTTTAGAATTTAAAATGAAAAAAATATCATAGTAAACAAATGACCCCAAACTCTAAAGATTCGAGAATGAATATTGCTAGTCAGTCTTACCTTTTATGCCCTTAGGCCCACAGCTCCCATTGGGACCTGGAGTGCCTTTATTTCCATAGTCCCCCTATACACAAATACCAACCAGAGACACAGAGACACTTAGCTGACAGAATAATACACACAGTTCAAGACTAAACTCAACAGATATAATCCTTTAAAAATTCACCACACTGTAGAGAAGAAAGAAAATTTGAATATTTAAATGAACAGTATGAGCTTAACTAATCTTTTATGCTATGACCAGCACGACACACAGTCAGGTCTTTGCTATCTTCTTTAATCGCACATACTTCAGCACCAGTTTCCCCTCGGGATCCAGGGACACCCGCCAGACCAGGTGTCCCCGGCATGCCAGGCATCCCATTTTGGCCGTCTTTCCCTGGAAATCCACAAGGTCCCTTCTCAGTTCCTGGGGTGCAAGGCTTTCCATCAATCCCAGGCAGCCCTTGAGTACCAAGCTCCCCCTTTTCTCCTGTGGGGCAAGCGCAGCACACAGGATTAGTGCAACAAAGAGTGCAACATGTTTCTTTCGACCTGAACACATTTGAAATGCCCATTATGAGAGGATGACAGCTCCTTAAGTAAGATAATGAAATGACAAGAAAGTCTACTAAAGGAACAATGGTGACTTCTGGCCCAGACCTGGTGCTTGTTATACAGTACGTACAGGTGTGGTGTAACACTCACCCCGGGGCCCTGGAAATCCTGGCAATCCTGGAGGTCCAAGGTCCCCAGGGGATCCTTTCACTGGGTTTACAATGACTTTACCTAGGCAGCCTAGTGGACCTCTACTTCCTTAAGAAAAAATCATTGGAAAAAAAAACAACTGTTTTTTACCAATTTCTTCAAGAAAAGTAATGGTATTACATCTTAGACTGAAATAACACAAACAAAATAACACCATATATACTGAACATCACACTCTTATCACCCTGCGCACACAGTTTCCAAACATTAAAGCACTATGCACAGATTTAACATTTTTTTTTTACATTTTTTTTTATTCTCCCAAACACGATAAAATACAGTAGAATACAAAAAAGAAAATAGCAATACCCACAGATTTTGGATACTTGATAAGTGTTGGATATTGAGGTAATTCTGCTCAATGGGGTATTTCAAATGGGCTATAAGTACATTATGCAGTACGCATGTGAGACTGTAAATAATTATGGAACAAGTAATAGGTTTATTCCATGCTGAAAAAAAGAAGAAAAAGAACACAGCATTTCGGCAGCTCACACCTGAAGAAGGCTCCACGGCCGAAACGTTGTGTTCTCTTTCTTCTTTTTTTCAGCATGGACATTTTTTTCATTACTTGTTCCTTTGCAGCCTACGCATGCTGACACAGCTATCCACCTGTAAATAATTATGTTTGATTGATTCCTAAAAGTCAAATACTCTTGCAATTTACTGTTACAATTTCTGATTGTTACAGCAAATTAAGAAAAACCCCACTTCCTACACTTGGGACTAAGAATGATACACTTTCTTGTTGTGCTCAGCATACTAATTGATGGGACAGGACTGTCTAGACTTTACAGAAATCCATTTGTAATGACTGATGGAAATGTGACCGTGTGACCTTTGCAGTTCTGCCCGGACTCCTGCCCTTGTCGCTCCACCCCGCCGGTTTGTCCCGCAACACCTGGGGGGCAACACCGGGTCTCTGGCGTAACACAACAGGGAACGTGCCGCATGAGCTAAAGGAGACCTCCCTCCTCAGCCCAGGCTGTTGAGGTCCCTGCTATGCGCAGGGAGGGCGATGACGTCTCCGTGTCCAAACTAGCTCCGTTACACCCTCCCCTACTGACTTCAACTCCGCCAAGGACACTCCCGTCCGGGTCACGGCACCAATGTGACCGTCACGGTTCCCCGCGGGCTCGTACCCTTGTTGCTCAACCCCGCTGGTTCATCTAGGGGCGCTGCAGGCAGCTGAGGTTCCTGCTACGTGCACGACATCACCGTGTCTAAACTAGCTCCGCTACACCTGTAAAGTGCTATATTGCTACAAGTCCAGCAAAGTAACTCGGTTCCCTGCTTCTAGGTTCACCCTGATGTGATAACATTTCTGCAAGACAACTCATATCCCCCATGGTTCTTGCGGAACAACAACTTTCTTATAATATGAGAGTGTGACAGTTAGGCCTTGAATGCCATACTCACCTGGGGTTCAGACTTGAACCCCATTTAACATTTAGGCATACCTAGGCATCTAGGGCTCAGAGACCAGTGATCAGACACAGGCTGGTCCAGGCTCTCTAAGAGCAATGGGACAGAAGCACACAAGGCACAACTCACAGATGTATAGCCTGTTTTGCTTTCAATGGTGCTACTTATTTGTGAGTACAAGTCTCACTGTAACCACCGTGTTAATCAATTCGACCAATGTTAGTCAGGATAATGCATTAACACTACTTATCTCATGTCAGTTCAATAAAATGCCCAATGATTAATAATGATTGTTAAATGATTTTGCAGTTTTCCTAGATTTATTGCAGTTATTTGTCTCTTTTAATGCTCAGCACATTTGTATACCTAGTCTGTATTATTTTTCCTTTCTTGGCGTAATAAGCACTCTGAAAAATATTTCGTCTTATAGCTTTTGCCACTTGCTTGACATTTGGCAAAGCAATTCCCATACCATTCTTCTTTTCTGTGCGTGGCATGTCGCCATTGGGGAACTTACCCTTCTCCCCTTTCAAGCCTCTGTCCCCAGTGGCTCCTGGGTGTCCATCGGAGCCCTTCTCCCCGTTCGCACCTACAGGGCCACATGCACCCGGCAGTCCAGAGGGCCCTGGGAATCCATCGATGCCAGGGAGGCCTCTAATGCCTACACAGATAACACTGCATCACTGGAGACTGAACTGGCGCTTGGGACATCAGACAAAATCAGTAAATGCGTTCTTCCTCCTGATTATTGCGGGTCACAAACCTAGGAAAATATTCCAGCAATAACTGTGACTGTACTGCAGTGTACTTCTTTCCTGACACTTTCTAGGGTACTGTATGTATTGTTGCATCTTTAAGGGTTAGGCACACATATGTACCTCACATTAGAATTGTCCTGTTCTGTAAGATCAAAAAATGGATATTGTCTTAAGGGTTTATGCACCTTAGTGTTTGAGGCAGTCATAATGCTGAAAGACCTAAATAATAATAATAAAAAGAGTACTAATTTTTAGGTGTGGTTAAATCATTTTGTCAGTTATATCAGAAAATGATTTTTTTAAAAGTGACCAGTCTTAGTGAGGTCTTTAAGTTAGCCTTCATGGGGATGGGACATTCAGTACATAGGAAACGGGTCTGAAAAGCTAAAGCCCTTGCTCCTTGGTTATTGGTATGTGTAATTTTAATTTTTTTTCTTATTCATTGGTAAGCATCCATTTAGAGACATTTACAGTAGTTCTTGGCAGAACTCTTTTGTTCAATAGGATGCAGGTTCTCTATTTACCTTTTAAGGTAAAGAATTCTGTATTTTCCTATGTCTGTAGAAAGCATGGCTTTGGAGCTCATGTATTTGAAAAGTTCTGCAAATAAAAGATGTGAGAAAATGTGTGTTTTCATGTTGTGTCTGACTCTAAAAAACTACTCGCCTGCCTTATTATGTTTGTCACCTATCTGTTACTCTATTATCAGAGAATAGAGAAATTGCATGCTGTGATATACTCATTTAATTCCCGCTCCTTTTTGTATGTTGTCATCCATGCAGAGTTAACATTATAAATGCAAATATCGAAACTACATTCAACGTGCATAAGTAAAAATAATAGTATGCATTAGAACTCTGGGTAGCAGTAATTTTTCAATGCCACTTCCACACAGTATTGAAAGACCCCAGCAATCATAAGCCTAAAAGGAAGCGATTGAAGCTTGACTACAGTATAGATGGATGGCTATAGTTATCATCACTAGTTAGAGAAGAGTCAATCATTTCCAATTTATAAAAGAAATACAAAATAATTTTCAATATTACACATCATTAATTAAAAAAAGCTAATTTAATCAATTTCTAGAAAACACTGGCCACTAGTTTAATTGCATTACTTTACTTTTTTGCACTGTAAATAAGTTAGTCACTTGTGAAATCATGATGCCGGCAAAATACAAAAAACAATTAATTGCAATTTAACATTATGTCCTTCCTACAACAATGCACAAAGTTAATTCAATATATAAAGTAACAGAACTTCTAAGAGTCAAAAGGACATTACTCTAGTGGATTTGAATATAGAATACCCATACTGAGCCCACAGGAATGTTCAACCTGTCTGTGATTACATTGAGTATCATCTTAAAGATGGCCTTGAGAAAACCTTGTCAAATACTGAACCCTAACATCACATGCTGGAGCACTTTGACTTCCAGCAAATGCAGTGCAGCAAGTAGCTCACACACAGCTAGATGCTCATCTTGGATTTTCTTGGATTTGCTTGACCCAAGTCAAGGTGGCACACATGCCTGAACACGTTTGGAGACTGTTTGGAACAGTGATGTGTATTCTTAGCTTTGTTGTTGGTTATAATTGTAGCTTTGTACAAATAATTGCACAACAAAGTGAATGCTTTCTACCTTATTTCTTGAAAAGGGTAAATTCTCACTACTTCTGCTCCAAATCACTGTTGAATCAGGAAGGTGCTTTAGCTCAGTTAAAGAAATGCAAATGTCAGCAGCCATCGTGGTTGATTGCTCTTCAAAATCAAGACCACGTAGTGCGTGAACTGAAAACAAAAACTGTCTGGCATTAACAATCTTCTTTCAAGAGCTTCTGACTTTCTGCTTGTAGAGGACATAGAACTGAGTTTTTTTTATTTCTTGTGATGATCAGACACAATTAGAGATTAGTCTCACTGCTGTCTCCTACCTATTTCCCCTGGAGGTCCATTTTCTCCAATGTCTCCTGGTTCTCCACATTCACCATCAAAACCAGGGGGTCCTGGTAGTCCACATGGTCCAGGCTCTCCAGTGATTCCCTTAATACCAGGCTCACCTGGGCAGCCTTGCTCACCTTTTCCTCCTTTCTCACCAGAAAGACCTTAAAACAAAACACATGGCCATGTCTCAGAAGAGGATGGTACTTTCTGTGCTGTATTTTGTTTTATTTGTTTATCTGAACATACAAGAGACTGACAGGGTAAATACCACACAAATATTAACACGGTCTTGCCCATCATGACCAAAAATCTTAAATCGTCTAGTACTGTCTCATGGACAAGTAATGTGTTCCAATTCTTCAGGTAGACCTATTGGTCATGAAGATCACGGAGGAACACGTTTGGTTGGGTAAAAGCCAGGAAAAACAGGATTCCAGTGCTTCACGCTGGAGTCAGAGAGCAGGTCTGCTGGCCTGTGGTGCTCCAGTAAGAGAAGGAAACGATTTACTCAGATTTTAATCTGTGGGCTAAAAACCAAATGGCGTTTTGGAAGAAATTTTATTTGATTGTGCCTGTAAGCACCTTAGGTGTGCGAATCCACTTCTCTTGAGAGACTAAGGAGTTAAATTCATGTTCCGTGACAGCTAGGTTTTGGCTTCTGCTTCAGTGCTTTCTCTGCACTAAGGGGATTAGCTCCTGCATCAGCCATGATTGAAAACCATAGTTTTAGATTGTCATGCATCCAAGTGCATGAACTTTGGGACTTTTTTTTAAAGAGTCCAACCAGAATCTTTATTTTTTTATGACTAAGAAATATCCAAGCAATTTCTGTAACTGAACTTAATCCTGCAACAATTTAGTGGAATTATAAAGGCATTCCTTGCTATCAATGGCAGCTTTTGAATTATGATGTTCAAAGGGTCATTAACACTCTAGCTTACCTGAACGGCCGAAACAGCCTTGAGGTCCCAGAGGGCCAGGTTGTCCAACTGGCCCTGGGTTACATTTCCTGGGATAAATGCCTATTGATCCAGGTTGCCCAGGGTTACCAGGCTCTCCTCGCTCTCCTTTTAGACCCGAGGTCCCATTGAACCCTAGACCGCCTTAAAAAGCAGTAAACAGTAAAGATCTTCAGGTAAAATAAATAGGTATCACACCCAGACCATGATACATACTTTAGGATGAAGCACGACATTCAATATAATATCTCTTGAAATGTGTTACAGTACTGTGTCTTCTGTATTGCATGCTTCAGCCAACAAAGGAAATCAGACAAAAGCAATGAGGGCTATACAGTACATTTTGCTACTGAAATATCAATTTTGTAGAATATCAACCACTGTAGCTGTTATGTAAAACTTAGTTGCCAAACAAAAGTTACCTTTCATCCCAGGTGGACCACATGATCCAGGGATTCCTTTCGTCCCTGGAAGCCCCTGCTGTCCTCTAGCTCCAGGGGAACCAGGCTCACCGGACAAGGAATCGCCTCTTGGACCGCTGTTTCCAGGCAGAGCTGGAAAACCCGGAAGACCAGGGCCACCATCAATACTAAGCCCAGGCTCGCCAGGGTCTCCTGGATCTCCAAGTTGTCCTCTACTGCCTGGATAAAACCGGTGGAGAAAAAATAAAAACTCAATACTTGTTTTTAAAAACAAAGTAAGGGTCCTTGATTTATAGAAAGAAGTTGCTTCCTTTGACTTGCCTTCTTTGTCTCTCTGTGAAGGACTTCCATTATTTTAACAGTATGTTTAATGTTCTCCTGCCTATCTACACACTCTATTAAGGGTATTAGGTATTGAAATACTTTGCACTGCTGTGTAGGGTGATGATTTCTAAACAGCGCAGTTTTGTCTGCATACCTTCAGGTCCAACGGTTCCCTGGTCTGCTGGATCACCTGTCTTTCCTTTTGGACCATCAGCACCATAGGGACCAGGAATACCTTGATTTCCAGGCATCCCCTTCAATCCTAGATGCAATGAGAAGGATATGTTTTGCCAATAGAATAATATGTTGAAACAGAGTGCGACAGCAAGGTCAAAATAAAAAATCAGAAATCATGGCTTTAGTAATTTTCTGTAGATTTACCTTCTGGACCAGGAAATCCCTTTGGGCCAGGCAGGCCAGGCAGGCTGGGCAGACAACCGTCACCTTAATAAAAGGAGGTTCAGTAAGTCAGATAAGCAGTGCTCAGACTTTGTTAATGATTGAAAACATAGAAACAAATGTGAACTTGTTATAAATTAAACTGGCATCATTATTTTGGATGGGTTAGAGCCATGAGTTTTTAAATTCAATTATTAGTTTAAAGAAATATATACAGTATGGAATCATAGAACAGCTCTATATAAATCATAGTTTTATAACATACTATGGACTAGGTCTGTAGGGGTTCCCAAATCCTGTGTTCCAGAGATGCCCTCCTGCATGTTTCAAAGTTCATTTTAAATCTGGCAATCTGACAGTTCGGTAAACTGCTTTGATTAGTAATTAGTCAATTAGATCATTACGAAGAAAAACCTGCAGGAATTGATGGAGACTACAGGATTCTCTTTGTTAATATGATAAATAAGTGACAATGTTTTAGTGAATTGTTAACAGTTGTTAAAGCCTAGTTCATATGTAAAAAATGCAACTAAAAAGTAAGAATTGTACAATATTATTTACCATTAATTTTTTTTATTCCACAAAATATACAGTAATACAGGTAGTATTAACCTATAATTATCTCGATATAGTGCGGTGAACAATAGAGTGAAACTTATTTGTTGTGTGTAGTGGTGGTTTAGTTGTTGGCACACATTGTATCAACTGCAGCTTTCATTATGCAAGCAATTAAGCAATACAGAAGAGACATCATAAAAGATTACATCCCTTTTATGAACCATAAACCCATTGAGACCAAGGCTATAGTGATGGGTACTAAACAAGCCTAATTACTAAAATTAATTTTTGAGAAGGTTTATGAAATGGGATATAGAGGTAAGTTATCTTTGAAAATAATTCAGGGTTTTCCCATGAGAAGCAGCATCAATGGAGAGACAAATGGGGCTTTTCAGACATTTAAACAATCTGTTCCAAAGCTGCCGACACTCACAATTATGTCAATATTTTATGAAAATTGGAATGCACGTTTTCAAAGTGCAATGTTGGAAAAGCACATGAATCATAGGATGAAAATGGAAAGGGTATTTTGTGTCCTTGCTGCCCTCTTACAATATGCAAAGAGGAAATTAGAAACATGACTGGGAGCCTCTTACCCAGCTGCAGTGAAACTACTGTTAAATCTGTCTGTTCGTACCTCTGGTTCTTTTCAAGACCCTCCAATAGTAGTTGTTGGCATCTCCCAGTTTGCATTTTAATGTGGATTACCAATATAAAGTATGTGTTTGACCTACAAGCCTTGAAAGAAATTAACTGGAATTTATGATTTCCTACAATGCGTAAGGAACATTAGATTGTGCAAGTGTTATTAAAACCTCCAGCTCATTCACAGACATCTTAAAGATTAAATTACAAAAATATGGCAGGATAGGAGGAGGCTGTAATGACAGCCTACCTGCCACTAAAGGCTGCAAAAAGGCCATGATCATTTGTAAATAGACACAATGGGTGATAATGAATTAGATTGTTCTCACATGGGTTTGAAGGGTGTGTTTGGTAAATAAAGGGGATAATAGTGTTAGTTTGTGGTTGAGTGTTTGATAGCAGTCTTGGGAGACTGATTTGGATTATTGTTGTATATGCCACAAGATTTCTAAAACAAAGACTGGACAGTCCAGGGTCATTATTGCTCCTTTTTTATGTGTTCAAATCCACTAAGCTCCCTTAAATAAAATGATGCCTCTGAATGGTCATTTGTTAACTAAAAGAGGGACAAAGAGCTAAATACCTGTTTAAATTATGTGTGAAAATACCTGTTCAGATCTTCTGTTCAGGTATGTTGGTCTAAATTCTGAGAGCAGTGAAAATGCCACTTTCTTCAGATTTCACTGTTAGGGACTTCCAACAGATCATGATTGAGACCCTGTGATCATTTTCAGTAGCCTTAAGTGTGTTTCACAGATCTTAGAGTGTCGATTTCCACAGCAATTAGTAAAAACACTGCTTGCTTTGAACAGTTTAATTAAATCAGCCTTGTCTACCTCACTCTTTGAATGTTTGTTGTGTTTTGTCTGAAAATGTAATTGGACGCTTGATGTGCACCAGACAACAAATGCACTCTTGATGCTAAAAGGCTTGAAATCAGTGAACATTTAACCTTGCTTTCTTACCAGCCTCCATTTCGTTGAAATTGTTTGACTTTACACGTAAGTGTGAAAAATGTTATTGTGGATTGTGAGCTTTCCTGTGAAAGTTTAAAATAATGCAGTAAATAAACCAAGTGAATCATTTTTATTCTCTGTGCCCAAGAGCTTTCTTTGGATAGCATGTTGTAGAGAATTTCATTTTTTCATGGAAGTGCCATGGAAAGTATTTCTCCTGGGGCCATTATTCCTAATCTGGTTTTGTGAATTTTAAACAGACACTTGCTGTTCTTGCTGACATCTCAGGAATAGCAACTGGGTCATAATTGGAAAGGTCAATCATAAACCCCTATTTATAGTTGTAATGTAGGGTGACCAGAGCTAGACTGACTATAAAACCCTCTATAACACAGCTGTAATTCAAGACATCGTGCAGGATGCATACTGTTTGTGTCTTCTCCCAATAATCTCCAATAATGGCCATGTTCATCACTTATTAAATTTACCTCAAACCCCTTGGCTAAGGCGTGATTACTGTACTTGCATCTCTACAGTACCATTGAAAGTAACATTAAAAATCCTTTTGTGTGCCAATAATGACATGCATGCCCTAGGTTGCCAACCCCTGTACTAACCAATATACAGTATAGAAAGGGGAAGGATCATATCTAGCTTGAAGCACTATTTATTGTAATGTGCTGGAATTCCCAATTTATATAAAATGTTGCCATGACAATTAAATATTTACCTGCTTGGCCTCTGGGCCCAGGAAGGCCCTGAATTCCTGGGAGACCCGCACTTCCTGGTGGTCCACGTTGACCCCTGGAACCCATTATCCCTAATCCTGGTGATCCCATATGACCTTTAGGCCCCTGAGGTCCTGTCAGCCCAGGAAAGCCCTTGTCACCACGGAGTCCTGGAGTACTGTCCCCCTGAAAGAAATAAGCAAAAAAAATGAGACCAGCAGAGCTCCTCTCTCAAAAACACCACAACTCAACTTTGCAGGTTCTTTGCTAAGCAATCATTTGGTCAGCATATCGACAGATAATGCCAGATAATGTCATTAAAAGTACTAGAACTCATTATTCCTTCTCCTTAAAATGTCAGTAAAAGACTAGATTGTTGGATATTTTTAGTATTTGCCTGTGTATGTGATTTGAGCCTTGCACAATAAAAATCTTGTTTTTTTTTTATTTCTGTAGGCATGATACAGATGGTCAATAACAGAACGATCAGAAAACAACTGAAATTTCTTTTCATTTTCTCAAAAGCTAACTCAATTACATTTCAGGCAGGTGAACTGACAATCATCTCAAAACATTTCAGGACATTTATTACTGAATAAAAATGAGATATTTTATTAGCATTAACTAACTCAATAAGTATCATATAACACTTATAACATCGGTTGAGTTGTTCAAGGCATTCATGAAATGGACCAGATTAAGTATTTCAGAACCCTTACATGGACCTAGCTACAATATTTGACTACTAACAGGAAAGCCAGGATCCCCAGGGTCACCAGGTTTTCCGTCTTCACCAGGTTTTCCAGGAGAGCCTTCAGGTCCAGGAGATCCTCTACAACCTCTATTACCTTTGATACCTTTGAAAACAAGGACCATGTCCAAAGACACCATAAACATACCAGTTGTGTCACTGTGAAATCATCCTACAAGGACTGACAATAGGAAATGGAACAGGTCATACTGTATGTATAACAGCTACAATAAAACATTTTTGCTTTTGAAAAAAAGATAAATTAGGAGTGTCTACCCAGCGATGACTACAATATTTGTTGCTAAACGATATAAATCTTGCTCTTCCAACAAATATTAAAATAAGGTACAGATCCCAACCCCACCCACACCCCCTTGGGAACCGTTACAAGCAAAACCTCTCTCATGAAAATAAACTAAAATATACTTAGTCTACATTTCAGAAGCAGAATCTGAATTTTTGGAATGTAAGAACCTTCCTCAGAGAAATATACACAACAAACTTTTTCACATCAACAGAAACAGTATAGCCACCTGCTGTTTCTTTTTGGGAAACAAATTAGCAGTTCCCCATGAAGACTCATCCGTATTGTTCATCATAAGAATACCAAACTCTAGTGTTGCACGCTCAGAATTCAACCAGACTAGGCACTATAGAAAATATAGGTTGTTATTATTAGAGTCAAGAAACAGTTGTTTAATTATTGAGTAGATAGACTGATGGTAATCATCTATCATCTTTTCAATAGAAGACTCCTCAATGTGCTTTGATATCAGTAATATGTGAGAAACAATGCTGAACTGTGTCATCTTTATAGTCTGATCTACTCTGAAATAAGCAAAGGTGATCAGGGGATAGAGGGATATAAGAAGAAAAATGAATATTTGTGACTGATTTGGTTAAGGTAAGGTGTTAGCCCTGAGCTCTTGAGTAAAAAACTCCACTAACACAGATATCATACCATCATTACCTTTTTCCATCATGTAGGCATCTCCTTTTTCCCCCTTCACTCCTCGAATCCCAGGAAACCCAGGAATTCCCTATGTATGTGTTTGAAAGAGCAAATAAGAGACATATCAAGTGATCAACATATATAATAAAACGTTAAGGAGGCGGTTGACAATTGCAATAGAGACAAGGCTGAATTAAGGCATTACTTACGGATGATCCATATTTTCCCATTTCCCCAGGTGCACCATTGTCCCCAATTTTACCAATACGTCCTGGAGGGCCAGTCTGCCCTGGTGGCCCTTGTGACCCCATAGGTCCTGGGTGTGCAGATGAGCAATTCAAGTAACAATCACCTGGAACTCCTGTATTACAAAACCCATCAAACAGGAGGTCAATCAAACTAGCGGAGATGGATTAACCAACCTGTTTTATTTTCCAATATAGCCAAAAGACAGGAAGCCAGAATAACCCCCAGATATGCGCCAACAAAAATAGATCAGTGAGCCCAAATTTGCAACAACACATATAGAAACAAAAATAGCTTAAAGGTACATTCTTCTTGTTTGTGGGAGTCAGTTCTGTCCATTTCAAATTGATTCTATCTGGTTATTTTGCTTTACTTTAGAATGCTTGTGGAAGTGTAATTAGGTAATTTCACTTTTTTTTTTGATACCAAAAGAACCCCACTAAGTGAAAAGGGCTTTTCTTTCATGGAGTTCGAAACATTTTTTAGCAATCTCTTCAGCTGCACAAATACAATTCTAAAATGTAAAAATACAATTCAGAACATGTTTTCTTGTCCATCAAACCTGACCTTTCCTTCCTCGAATTCCTGGGAAACCAGGGTGACCCAAGGATCCATTTTTTCCTGGTAGACCCTTTTCTCCCTTAATACAACACAGAGCTGCCAAAGAAGACAACATATTTAGCTTTAGTTTATGAAATACCAATAAATCCCTCATTGAAACACAAGAGAAGAATTGTCCTCATATATTATGTCTCTGCAGTTGACCATTTAAACTCAGAGCCAGTGAACTCTGATCTTGAGTAGTGAAAATACAGAGAATTTACATATGGGCCATTGTTAAGAACATAAAAGTTTTAATAAGATATCATACCTAGGCCTTCTTTAATAAACTGAAGTTACAGAAGTTCAGGAGTTTAGCAGGAGATCTGATCCACCTGTGCATAGTTAATTACTTCACCTACGTCACTGAGAGTTTGATCCTTGGAGTTCCTTGTTCCTTTCAACCTCTTTTATTCCAACTGTGTTTCGCTTCAACCTCACTTGTGTCTCTTCAACCTTGTTTGAGGAATTTTCTGGTACTTTGTTCCCTTGTGTACCTGACTTTGAACTTTGCTTGTGCTTGGATTATGTTTCTGGAATTTCCTTTGGACTATGTACCAATGTTAGGTCACTTAATAAGCCATCTTGCCACCAGGTACAGCCAGAACGGCTGCACATATGGCAGAGAGTCTACCAGTGTCTGGAATTCTGCAGGAAGGATGCAGCACCATTCTTCCACAAGATAATCAATCAACTCATGCCTAGCTGATGGAGATGGAAAATGCTGTGTCATTCTTGTTCAAGAATATCTTTCAAATGCTCAATGTGATTCAGATTTGATGACATAGAAGGCCATGACATATGGATAACAGAGATCTGTGTATTATCATCGTGCAAAACATGCCCAGGCTAATCAGAAGCTCAGGTCTCCAGTGTAAGTGCATACAGTTTGTGTTCAGTGATGGACTGGTTGGGTGAAAGTATTCTGCCTTGCGACCAATGTGTGGCAGGCTAGGCTAGAGCTCACTGTGACCATGTATTGGACTAATCGGTTATATAAAATGGAGAGATGGAAGCATTGTATGTTCAATATCTGTACAGTATATATCATCTTGCTATCTGGCTATATGATTTTTTTTTCATGATTTTTGGAGTATGCTCATACCTGGTTTCCCACGGGGACCAGGATATCCCTTTCTTCCTGAATATCCTGGTTTGCCGGGTTCTCCAGGAATCACACATCCTTGTCCCCCAACATTCCCCTTAAAGCCTTTCTCTCCGAGGACTCCAGGTTCTCCAGGTGGACCTGGTGGACCTAGAAGGAGATCCAGTCTGAACCTACAGCAGTGCCATACAATTTCTGCAACTTGCACTTCCAAGTTGTGTTAGCATTGTGCACAAATGTTTGCTGTGTTATTCTAGCAATAGGCTTACTATGTGGTTAAAAAAGAAGCACGTCACTTATGTATCAATAAGATGGCCATTCACAAAGTTGAGCTGTGGTTTGAAGAGCTTTTAACTAATTAAAAATGTAATCATTGGTTAAAAAGACTATAATTTAATTAAACAATCTGCAATAAAACTGAAGTGTGACATCTGGAGGCTTTTACATTAAATGTGGTCTTTTACCTAATACAATGCTTCCTCTAAGACCGGGATGACCAGGTAGCCCTAAGAGGCCATCATCTCCAATGGTGCCCTGTAGGCCAGGGGAACCAGGATCACCTTTGCATCCTGTAGCAAAAAGGCAAAGAAGAGGAGGAATTACACTTAATACTGCTAACCTTGAATTTCTAAACACTCAAGAAATCACAGCAGGAGTCAGCTAACAATATGACCTGGGCTCATCCTGAAACATGGAGCACAGCTGTGCTCTTATTATACAGTATATGTGTACTGTATCTGTTTTTATCTAGAGTCTTGTGGTGTCCTTTGTAAAATTCAGGCACTCTGATAAGGCTACTTAAAATAAATCTGCTCTCTACTATCTACATTACAACATTACATAGTGTATGTAAATAACGAATTGCAATCTACAATGTAATAAAGGAAAAACAACACCATATATACAAATAAAAATAAAATACCAGAACATGCAAGTAGTTACCTTTCGTGCCATTAAAATAAACTGGTTGTCCTGGAAGGCCTGAATCACCTGTAAACCCCTTTGAAAGATTTAGGAAAAACAAATTAAATCCTAAGTACAACTGGACATATACTGTAGATTTAAGGAGAGATTTAATTCAATTTAATTCAAAATACTTTATTCATCCACAGGGGGACAATTATTTAAGAAACGTATCAGGATTCATTTTTGTTTTATGTCTGCAGGACAGAGCATAATGTGGCCTCTTCCACAAATCACCTTCAGTCCAGGATATCCAATCAAACCAGGAAGTCCAAGGTTACCTCTAGGTCCCTATAGAAATCAAGAAACAGACACGTATTTGAATAATCAATGTATTCTCTTCGATAAAACACAGTCCCCTAGTAAAGATGTTATCTAAAAGAAGGACACCAATTGCAAAACATTACTAGCAAACAGGGAAATGAGGCAATGGGAGTTAATAAATGTTGGCACCAAGGTTATAATTTTATACTACACGATTAATATTATTTGTAAATATATACTGATGGAAAAAAAAACGCAACATTTTCTGGAATGAGAATACTATAGTTATTGCTTACTTTCACAAAAAGTTGTCAATTTGTTTTAAGCCCCCTGACCAGAAATACAGTTTGTACAATGAGGCATTGCCACTTGCCAATCACATGAAAGCTCGTTGGATGCGCTTTTACCCAATGAGATCCAGGTGGAACAATGCCTGATAAGGTCACCTTTAAAAAGGCCTTAATTCAAAGCTTAGGTCACTGCAAGAAAAAGGCCACACAGTCAGTTTTCTGTGCATTCCATAATGCCTCAAATGTCACCAGAAGCCATTCCACTGCAGAGGGGTTTTCAGCAGACCAGCAGGACAGATGATCGTGCAAGTTATGGATGCCCTCGAGAGACCACACCAGAGCAGGACCAACACATCAGACTAGTCCAACTAAGAGATCGTTTCAGATCTGCCACCCCTACTGCTGCTGGCCTTAGAGCAAGGTGACCTATCAGAGGCCCTCTGCTCACACCTCCTAGACGTCACACCCGACTGGCTTGGGCCAGACAGAGGCTGCGATGGACTCATCAGCTGTAGCATCAGGTCCTCTTCATGGATGAGTCACTCTTCAGCCTGTTCCACGCAGACGAGAGATCCAGAGTATGGAGGAGTGTGCGTTTCTTTTTTCCATCGGTATACAGTATATTGGGAAAGTCCAGGCTGGAATTAATCCCAGGGCCCTAACCACTATAGGATAAAGTTCTGAAGTTATTTATCCAATGCTCACAAGCAACATCCGATGATAAACAGCTCTTATTATCTTAACACCTACTTTTTTTTCATTATTCTCCCAGTTTTGTGTTCATTAAAGGCTCAGATAGAGAGGGTATAGGGTGTAGTCTGCTGCTATAGAACCTGTGATGCAATCATGGTATGAAATACTGTAAGAAATGAATTCAATCCAGTTTAGCTGAAGAGTTAACTAATCCAACCTTTTCTCCAGGAACACCCGGTGGTCCTATATACCCAGGTTCACCCTGAAATATAAAAAAAATATATAATTACATTTGCATTTACATAAGGTACAGAATGTATGCTATAAAATCGCATTGAAACAGTCAGAACAGAAAGGTCTACAGTCAACTACTTATGTGACAAACCACATTCTTTAAAGAAAGTTCATTACACAAATTATACTTGTCTTACTCGTGGTCCAGGGAATCCAGGTATGCCTTTCTCTCCCTTTTTTCCCGGGCAGTGATCACATTTGCCCTGCAAAATACTTCCTTAAGTTATGATCATCTGCTATACTTTAGCATTTATTACAGTGGAACTTTGTAAAAGTAATGAAAATAAGAAAATAATATCAAAGAGGAACGTTTTAAAAGCCAAAACCACCAAATGCCGAACAATATTTTTGTTTTGAGAGAAAGACTGGCTCTTCGCTGCATTAAAAGCGAAACTTACTGGTAAAGGTGATTTTCTCGGGACTTAGTATTATATACAGTTTATAGAAATGATACTTTTACAAACTTTGATAAAAAAAATAACTTACGTTCTCTCCCTTTAATCCATTTAAACCCGGCTGTCCTTTATCTCCCTAAAAATAATGTAACAAATAGGATAATCACAGCCATTTCCTTAATGTGCAGGTATAAACCCCTTATTTATTTTCTTAAAAAAAGATGTGTACAAGACCTGCAGAAATATTCAATATACTGTATACCCAAATAATTTAATGTCTTTTAGAATGATAAAATTGTCCAAACACATTGCACCACTCCCAAGGACTGTGTGGTTCAAATGAAAGGAGAAACACTGACGTTAAGCAAGACTCAGAGAACAGACATTTCCAGAGTCTTCAACTGTGCCTCATTTTGTTTGCAGTACGTTTGTTCCATCTTTCAGGACTCTGACTTAAGAAGGCTTTGTAAATAAATTGTAACATTAAGTCTACATAGAACTTGATGTTCAGTTTGTGATTACTGTAAATAAACATTCATATGTTTTGTAAAATGCCTGTTTAGAAATTTTGTTGATTTGAATATTTGTTATATTAAGATTGGTGCCAGGATTCTACACTAAAAATTAAGCTATTTCTAATATTTAGTGCCAGAGTGGGATGTATCATAACTGCTGTTTCTCACAAAACACTACACCAAACTTGCATACAAATATAAATTTAAAAGTACACTCTAATGGATGAAATGAAACAAACTGAATTAAAAAGAAAACACCAATACAAAAATTGGGGTTTTGAGAGGTTCTATTAATAATACATGACCGATTTCTCCCTTTTGCATTTAAATATATACAGGAACATGCTGAACAAAGGAAATATTGTTTGTCTAGAGAAATCTCACTAATCCAAAGCATAATATACAGTGAAGAGCAGAGATTGAACAGATCCTTACCTTCTCTCCTTTTATGTAATAATCACTAATATCTCCATTAAATGGTGTAGGTGGTCCGCGAGGACCTACTGGCCCCGGGTCTCCCTTTGAGAAAGGAAAATATGACACATAACACAAGGTATCGAAAGAGCATTATAATCTTTGCATTTGATCACTTACACATCTCGCTGAGAATCTAAAACTGTTTCCCTTTCCTGCAGGGCCTAGTATGTTTAGCCAATAGAAAGAAGAACAACAACAACGACCATGTATTTGATCATTTTTATTGCCAAATTCTGTGTATATTTTGCAAGAAAAACCAAAAGCTAAAGATACAAAAATGATACAGAAAATAGATCCTTCTACCCAAAAAACAGGGGCAGAGTTTGCTATTTAATCTAATTACTCATTTTAGGGACAACAGATGGTCAATTGCATTGAATTGTCTATGTTTGAATCGATTTTAGCACATAGCTGGGTATTAAGTAGTGGTGTAGTTAATACGGTACTATCTGGAGATCATTTCCAGCTCTGAGCTCCATGAGCTGCAATGAAAAGAACATGTGGAATAAAGCTGGAGACCAGTTGAACTTGTGCTTAGTATGATGCTTAGGGTTCAGCATTGCTGTTATTCTAATGAGCATGAACTGCAGGGGGCTCTGAATCAGAACATTTAAATTATTCCTTGCATTTTATGCATTATTATTTCTAATTGCCAATCGATAAAAAGGACATGCAGACGACCCCACCAAACCTTGTCATGTGCCAGAGCCATTTCTCCCTTGGCAAACTACACAGTGCCTGCCACAGTGTAGCACATCTATCACTGACTAACTCCTTCAGATGTTTGGCAGGTCACAGAGGACCTCGGTTGATTACTGAGCAAATTTATTGACAATCAGTTGCATTGTTATTGTTTTATAATGTTTAGTGTAATCATTTTCTGATGCAACGCTGTATGAGATGTCTATATAAAGCAAAACTTATTACTGAATGTTTTCAATGCAAACATCTTAATGTACATGTCTGCTGTTTGGTGAATAAGGACCCAATTATCTGCCATGCTTGTCACAGAAAGCTGTTCATTACTTACAGTTTCTCCATGTTCTCCTTGCACTTCTCTGCCTTTATCACCCTTAAAGGAAACGATAACTGTTAGTCATATACTGACAGCAATGACTTCTACTGAGTATAAAAAAGTGCTAGTGACATAAGAGCTAAATATCTATTCTATACACATGCCAATGGATCAGAATCTGTGGGCTAAGATGGAATTAATAGTTTTAAAGAAATAAAAGGGCTGTTTACTTACGGGAGGCCCTCTCAGACCAGGAGAACCACATAGACCCTAGACGTCACAAGGATGATGATAACAATAAAAAAATAAGATGATAACAATATAAAGGAAATAGGGAAAAGATTCAAGGCAAAATAATACACCAACAAGTGCTCTGCATACAAAGCTAAAACCCTTCCTCAGCTCAGCCTACAACATAGTGTTTAAAATCACTATTTAAAACATTGTGAGACTGTATCAAAACAGTATTTGAAATGAATGTTATGAAATTAATGTTAAATGCTAAAGATATAAAGAACATTTCTTAGAAATCACTATTAATTAGAAATAAGAGTTCTGTTAGTTGATATGCTTCAAAGGTTAGAGTTTACCCTATATTTGAGAGTACTATAGTTCAAGAGTGTACAGAGAGTGTTTTCTCACCCCAATTACTAATTAAATTGTATTGTTAAATCAGACATTATTTCCTCTATAAGTCACCAGTTTTTGTGAAGACCTGCTTTTGTTCAGTGTAAGAGCAAATCTCTGCCATTCCCCTTTCTGACTGTTCAATCTACACAGATTAAAACCTGGCTGTTTCTTCTTGCCCTCATGCATGTAGAGATGAGTACTTCAGTCAAACTGTGTGTGAAGTTTCCAAGCTGACCTGGCTTCTTTATGCACGGATCAGAATATGCATTGAGAATGCACATAACACTGTATAGAGCAGAGCAGTCAGCAAATACACTTACGAAGCTTGAAAGGTTGGTGAAAAGTCTTTGTGTGTAAAAACAGAAATGCACCTCAAACGCAAGACAACACTTACATTCACTCCATCTTTCCCTCTTGGGCCCATCTGCCCCTTAGGACCAATATTCCCCCTGGGTCCCTGCAAATGTACACATAGAAACACTGCAAACCTCTGAATGCTGGGAGCCTTTTCCAGGAAGATGTGCAAAAGAACATGTGCGATGCCAAAACCTTGCTGGGGTTATTGTTGAGTTTCAGGAAGAATGTTAAAATCGCATTCATGTGCACAAAAACAAAACTTTCCTAAGGATGTAATTTGCAACACACACATGCAGTTACTGTACCTAAGGATTCAAACAAAAGTATTGGCATCCTTCATTCAAAACAATGCAATTGACTAATTTAGTTCAACCCAATTTATTACGCAAGGATAACAGTGCTCTTGTTTTTTATCAGTTGTAAGTTTTCTTGAGCATGGATTCATCCTAGTGAATAGGATACTGTGGGAAAAATGATCAGATATTTGTTTTATATTTTACAATGAATGTGACTTACAGGAGACCCTTCTATTCCTGGGAGACCTGGATCACCCTAAAATAAATCCAAAGAAAGAAAATCTCAAATTAAATATTTAATTTTATTTTGTTCAGAAGATTTGTTTTTCTTTTGGATGCAATGTGCTGAGAAGACAGTTATTTTCAGTGTGGAGCTGGCAATAATTTAAGAGTTGCATCTGATTGTCCAATGTCTTTTAAAATGTTCAACAATAAAGAAAGATATGGAATATGAAACTTTGAAAGAATTAATTTCGAAATTTAGAAAAATTGCTTTCCACCACAAACCCCCAATTTCTTCATTAAGAAGACCCACACTTCTGATAACACATACATACTGTAGAAAAATTGAATACAGTGTTCTGGAACCTTAATTTCAAATTGTAGATATGATTGTATAACCGCACTGTATTTTGTTTAAACTTGACACATTGTTAAATCTGAGACAAAGTTAACTGAAAAATAAAAGCTTACAGATTTGCCTGGAATACAAATGGTTTGAAAACAAGGGTCTCCCTTCTCTCCTTTTATCCCTGGAGAACCCTGTGGATGCAAAGAAGCATTACTGCATATTGTGAATAAAGTAAAGGAAAAAACTACAAGTTTAGAAGTGATTAAAGTTGAAAGAAGAAGCAAGTCATACAGTACCTCATATATACCACAAAAAGGTATCAAACCAATCTTTGTATACTTTATTACGTTAAATACTTTTTTTACCCTAAAATGATTTTTGTTTTTAACGTTGTACTATTTAAATGTACCTTACTTATGTGCTTTAAATCTAAAACAAAGAAAAGGCTTTGTTTCTTTTTCCTTTATACTTTTTTTTCCTGTACCTTCCTATTTGACTGGAGACTCTTCTGCTGACAGCTGCCGGTCACTTTGAGTACATACAGTATCAGTTCTGTGTTTTCCAGGTATGAAACAAACTGAGTTTATGTGACTAAAAGAGCCCACAAGCAAATGATAAACCTTTGCAACATGAGGGTTTGCAAGGCTTAGACCAATGTCACTATTTTAGCATATTAATGTGTCAGCATCTGCAAACATCTTAAGCGTATGAACATTTATTAAAAATAAATTGCACACCAAGTGGATAACACTGTACTGAATACAGTATATCATTTTTGATCATTTGAACTGATCCATCAGAGCCTTATGTTTTGTCTTATAAAATAAAACTTTAAAGTATTTTTGCTCTTACTTGATCCCCAGGTTGTCCAAAATTTCCAGGCCTTCCCAATTCCCCCGAGTCACCCCTTGACCCATTACAGCCATCTACCCCTGGGAGACCTCTTGAACCTGTGGGGCCTGGAAATCCCTGTGTGAATGTCAACGTTACAGAAACACACAGCTGTAATTAATGCTAGTAAAAGGCTTGGCATTCACCTACAACCAGAGGGCTGATATATGGCAGTCAGGTGATAATGTCATTTGTCTCATTTAAATAGGAAAAAAAGAATGGTAGTAAAAATAGAAACAAGAAAAAGACAAGCAGTGGTTCAGGTGACCCTGAGTCAACAGCAGTCTGTTATATAGCTGGTGCCACCCGAGGGGCAGACAGACTCCCAGCAGAGGTGGATGAGAGCCCAACTGGTGTTCCTTGTTTTAGAATGAATTACACTGGCATGGGCATCACACTTTACATTCAAAGACTGTGGATACCGACTGAAGATAGAAACGTATGCAGATGTTATCAAAATAGAAGAATTAGCAAATGAAAAAAAAAGAATGTAATAACTGAAGAAAGAATCTTTGACCATATATATATATATCGGTAGAAGCATAGAAATTAAATGAAAGGGATTTTATGTTAAAATTGCATGATGCACTTGTAAGACCTTATTTAGGCTACCATTTTGACTACAATACAAAAAAGACATATGTGTACAGTGCTTTGCAAAGTATTCTGACCCTATTAAAGTATTCACAGGGTGCTGGGTTACAACCGATACACATCCTTTTCCAATCAGTGTTTTTATTATAAACTTACGAGCTCAAACAGAAAACTTTAAGGGGGCAAAGGGGCTCTACCATACATATTAATGTGTAGAGTCTGAATAGTTACGCAAACCATATATTTCACTTTTTGATGTACTTTTAGATATCTGGTGATCTTTTAAATCTTTAAAAAATTCCTGTCTGAATAGAAATACTAAGAAATATATTGGAAAAAGATGTGTATCATTTGTAATCCAGCAACATTTAAAACTTCTAAAGGGTCTGAATACTTTTTCAAGGCACTGTATAAGTTCCTAGGCCAGGAATATTATTTTCCTGACAGGATAAAAAAACTGAATCTTTTCAGTCCTGAGCAAGAAAGACAATGAGGGGACCCGATACACAATCCTGAAGTAAATGACAACTCAGTGGTCTTCTTCAGAATCAAAGTGAAAAATGAACCAGAGGACACAATTGGAAACTAAGGAGGACTGCATTTAAAAGACAATCTTTTAAAGGTCTCTGTGCAACGGGAGTTTGGAACCGGTTACCCAGCCATATTGTTGAAGCTGAAACCCTGACTTTTTTTAAAAGAAAAGACTGGATGAGATCATTGGAACAACCAGATAGTAAAACCCAGTTTTCATATTCACTGTAGACAGATTACCAGAAGGTCTGTCCTGGCAACCATAGCAACCAACAATCATGCTGTTTCATCTGCCAATCAATCTGTAACCATGACAACGTGAAATGGCAGGAAGTCTGTCACCTCTGATCACTACTAACACAGCACTTGCCTTGTTTCCACTGGATATTTAAGACACAGTTTTCTCAGTATTCTCTGCTGTTTTTAGGGAGTCTTTGTTTCAGTTTCAGCATTCATTTTCCACTGTACTTTTGTGTTTCTCGGCTTTGGACTTTGCTTGTGTTTTTGATCCTGCTTTGGATTTTCCCTGCTGTACTTAGTTGTTTCTTCGGCCTGGGATCTGCATCTGTGCCCTTATTTCGCTCTTAGATTTTTCCTGTGTTCTTTTGCAGTGCTGTTGGCGGCAAACTGCTTGATTTCTCACTTGGATTATACAGTACTTATGACTGACATCTGCCTGCTGGCTTGCCTGCCTGTTCCACCTTGCACCTGGGTTCACTTCACTGCCTGGGACTCTTCTCTCAGCAGAGCTTATTACACCAATGACCTATATGGGACAGATGGCCTTCTCTGGCTTGCAACCATTCCCATGTGCTTCTTAAGTTAGTAAAAAATAATGTTTTAAAAGATGAGGTGGTGATGAGATCAAGCTGGTTGCAACTAGTAGTATGAAGATTAGCTGCGTAATTGCACTGCATCAGGGTGTGATTTGCTTCGAGGTGTCAGTATTATGGTGATACTGAAGTATTAGATGAGACATGACTGAAGATGTACCGCAACCACAATAGTTCAGATCCACATGCCCCCTTGTCATCACTTACAATATTCTTCATAGCTTAACAATTATAGAGATGCTATATAGTCACAGTGCAGCTCACTGAAAGTTTGAGATGAGCTTCAATATGTGATGAAGGTGTATCCCCCACTGTGCCCTCCCTTCAATCAGTGTTACACAAGAGTATAGTGCGAGGACAACTATGGTCAACCTATGTTATACCATAAATGGGTGTTCATACGTGACCATTGCCTACATATTGGAATTATAGAACAAATGTCCACATATGGCAAAGCGCTTCCTCCTGATAATGTTATCTTCAGCTCACAGTTATTTTTGAAATGTGAAACACAATGCAAGAGGTGTCTGTCAAAATGCACTCAAACCAGGTCTGGAGGAATGACCCCAAGCCAGGGTCAGATTTCTACACAATAAAACCATAAGAACCACCATCCTGCTATCAACAACATTTCCATAATCTATATCTAATCAATCCTCTTGGATCATCATAAATAAAAAAAACATCTGCATTCAAAACAGATTACCTCTGCTCTACCAGATTACATGAAGTCCCACAGATAATCATGAAATAAGAAACCAGGTAGAGAAACATTCTCAGGACTGGCCACCAGGGGGCGTTAGATCTACACATTTCTTTATCTCTCCATATTTGAAAAAAAAACTTTGACCACATCACTGAATGTACATATCCTTCATTTTAAAAAGGCTGCTTCACTTTACTTTACATTCTGAGAATAATCTTTCATACAATACATCATCAAATATATTTTTAAGTTCCGTAGTAAAGATATGAATTTTCAAGAAAGCAATCCTGAAAAAAACCGAGTAGCAAACAACATTAGACAAAGATTTGGCACATTAGACATAAAATCTACTTACAGGGACACCATCTGATCCTGGAAATCCTCTGAATCCCATGCTACCCTTCAATGATACAGAATCATGTCACTACAAACAATCTTATTTGTGAAAGATTTTTGAAAGCTTTGGATTATGTTTTCAGTTTAGGAAAATACCAGCATGTTTAAGTGGGGGTATTGATGAACATTTTAATAATTGTATCAATATTTATCATTAAAATTTTTAAGCTTTGTGTTGGCTGAAAAATAAATTTAACATTATTTCCATCTGTAATCTTTGAGAGTAACTGTAAAGCAATGGAACACATACATACTTGTGAACAGAAGAGGACAATTATGTTTGTTTGGAAAAATAGCGTTCTTTGTAATAGACTTTCTGTTATCAAGGATCACCTAAATATGTTTTTCTGTATTCAGTTTCAAACTTCTGAAAGAGGGTTTCTGTGAAATGTCACTGACATAATTCTGATTATTCTGAATGATCACAATGCATGTCAAAAAGACATTTTTCTGAAAACCTAATGCGCACTGAGCACATTTGACATAATACCCACTTTCAATGGATTTTCTTGGCTACTTATTTTTTAAGTGTGGAAATAAAGAGTTACCAACTATACTGTTTGGTTACAGACAACCATCAACCCCAGTTCCAAACAAGAAAGCATCGGGTTTCCTTTAATTCTCCTTTGGACATGCTGCAAGTTCTACAGTTTCTTAGATGTTGGCAAGTGCTGAATGTAGGACCTGTGCTTTTCACCACGACATCACTATAAGCCAACGGTCCATTCTGGAAGATCCAGGACACACTGATTCATAGGACTGGACAGCTAATCCTAATCCCTGCACTCTGATGGGGGTCTGCCAGTCCTGAACCATCACACTTGGAGAATCCTGGTCACAGATCTTTGATTTCAACGTGTCAGGAATTGAATCCTAGACACTTGAACATGCCCATGATCACTCTAAACACCAGGCATTGCAGTCTATAACATTATCTGTGGGATTGTTGGAGGAGTTCACCTAGAAATAGCCCACACTGTCGGAGAAATAAATTAATTCAGCTAAATAAATACCCAACACAAAGGCTGCAACAAGCGTAAGCTGTAGAAATTGATTATCTTATGGAATTATAGCAAGAGAGATATCCAGCACACCAGTTTGCTCAACACAGTGTAAAGAATTGCGATGGGTCTTGGCCAACAGCAGCTGAAAACTATGGCCTTGGTTTTATTGAAGAGCAGCTTGAGCTTTGAGTGTTTCCTTTCTCCTCATTACTCCCCAAACAAATACTTTTCTCTTACCAGTCAAAGAAATTAAATCCATTCTGAATTGCTCAAATCCATAACAGGCTTGTCTATTTGGAATTAATGTACTGCACATATTCACAGAAAAGTGTTATTTTTCAGAAATTCAATTTCCAGACAGCTATCCAGGGACAGTACAGTATATTAATTTACTGAAAATGATCCCATGGAAATGTAATGAACTGTTTCTTGCTTTGTACAGGGAGAGTAGGCTATGTGTTCAGCATAAATCTTAGACTACATACAGTACTAACAAAGAAAAAGATTTAGAATTCAAAATGACACCTGTAAATTACCTGCAAACTTTGTATGAAGACATCTATAATATGTATCCTGTTTTGCATCTGGACAGGTAATACAGTTCTTCTTTGCACATTTCTTTAACCTTTACCCATTTTTATTATCCATAGTTGTAACAGACAGTAAGCGTGAGTATGCCTTCTGCCTAAGAAGAGCTCATTAATGCTCCTTGATAGCTGAGCTTTCCTTTTTTTAATACTGGCGTCTCCTCAGATGTGTGAGGTAGCCCTGTGACAGAGAGAATACAGCACGCCAAGGAGCTCTAAGGAAGAGCCCCGGAGAGCCTGAGAACTCCTGAGCCAGCAGGAGGTCCAAGCTGTTGAGTCAGAGAGTGGCAGGGATACTGTGGAGAACTGAGGAGAACAGATCACAAGCCACAAGGGGCTGCTATGAAGCTTAACAAGGTTCACACTAAAGTTTTTTTTTTTCTTCAGAACTACCAGGTTTACTGTTAAAAGAATGAAGGGTGCTAAAGCGCTGTGACTCCAGCAATCCGGCTCTCAACCTCTTCGTTATTCAACCTGTTCCAAAGCTCTTTACACATTATCCAAGTTCCAGACTACTGTACTTGCCTGGTACAGTCTTGCTTGATCTTTCGGGGAGACAAAGCAGTGCTATCTACAGTATGCAATACTCACTTTGGCGCCTTTGGATCCTGCCTTGCCAGATTCCCCCTCATCGCCACGCTGACCCTTCTCCCCTGGGGGTCCGGGGAGGCCTGGAAAACCTGGGGGTCCCAGAGGGCCCAGAGGCCCAAGCACACCTGGTCTTCCCTAGGAGAAGAACACCAAAATTATCAAGGAATAATTTCAAGCGCTTTAGATGCCTCAGTATTGAGATTAATTCTATTTCACACTTCATTGTAGTGCAGAACTGTAGTCACATTTTAATAACGTGCTGAATGGGGCTCATCTACTGTTTTTTTATTCTTATTTCCTATCAATTAGGACCCTGTGATAGATACTCTTCTAGAGTTTTGAAATTCACATGGAAAGGGAACCTATGAGGTATTAAATTCTCTATTCTACATCTTAAAAGATCTGTGGGAGGCCTGGACATGTATTGAGTGCCTGACCTCAAGAAAACAATCCAATCAAAATTAGTCTTAATCTGGAATGACCTTTAATTATACAGTATCATTCCTCACTATGGCCACAGGAGGGCATCACATCACACATATCTCAGAACTACCAAAAAACAACATTTTCTCCTTACAAATGCATGTACTGTACACATACACATACATGTCTGCATGGGTCAATGCAAACCACATATTTTCCTGTTAATATGTTATTCACCACACTTCATAGAAAAGAGAACAACTCAAGCATCTAATTGAAAGAAAAGTTTAAAATACACGTGAGCCCACAGACCTTTCCCCAAACATTAAGAGAATGAAAACCATTGTAATGTCACATCAAGTGCAGCTCTTTTGTGGCAGATTTCCATTTCCAAAACACACAAAAGTAAAATTACACTCCCACATCTGCACCATGCTGCCCCCATCTGATTTAACACATTTCTGAAAGACAATAACATTGCAATGCATCATATCTCAGTTTACAGTGGCTTCCTAAACAAGTCTGGGCTTATCATTTCAGCAAACAAAACTCACTGTAAAAAAAGAGGTATTGCTATTTGACCTGATGTCTGGGTTGCACAGTCCCTTTCTTTTTCAGCTTTTGCTTTCCTTAACCTTAACACCTATGACAGGTGAATATATAATTAGGGGTGCAGAAACTGTGGAGATCTTGTGATCTTGTTTCCTTCTTCACTTTGTTCCAGAATTCTTTTTTTCAACATGAAATAAATAATTGCTCACACACAGAGACAACTTACATAACAACTGGAGCTTAACAAAAATACTTTAACGCTATTATAAACACAGGTATTTTGTCATTTTAACAAAGGCCTTGTACAGTATGTCACAAAACCTCTTTATAATTATACATTTTTTTATTAAAATATCCATACTGTATTCTTCAGTAGAATTTGAATCAGAAACGAAAATGGTTCACAGTCGTTCGCTCTAGAGATGCTTTATTGAAATTCTAAAGCTGGCTGGTTGAAATTGCTCATTCTACCATGAAAAAACCCAAACCATGCAGGAAATACAGTGGATGAACTTCTGAAGAAATGTACAACTGCTCTTGGCTAGCCTTAAAACATTATTCTGATGAATTCTATTCACCTACCGTTCATGATGCAGAGGATGTGAAAATTAATTACTATGACTTTATACTATGAATATGTATGGTTATACTACACACTGTAACATATAGTACTGTATGCATATATATATGTGCCTTGAAAAAGTACAGTATTCAGTCTGTTTCATCAAGTATCGACTCGGGGGGTGATTACTTTTGCAACCAGCTTTTGCAGATGTTGCTGAAATTTAAATTCTTCCATCCAGTTTTGATTTAAAATATGTGAATGCATTATTTGCTATTCAACACAATAGGGCCTGGGATATCACTGAATACTTCTGTAAGGCACTGTATTGTATATAATACGCTATTTTTCCCAAATGCAAACAGCTTAATATAAAAAACAATAATTGCTTACACTTGGAAGTTACTCCTGTTTCTATCTTTTGATCCTTAACAATGGCTAAATAGTCCTACACATACTGTAATATGACTTCATGGGGAGTGGACTTTGAGTACAACAGACAGTAGTTTTTTTTTTCCTTTGTTAAAAATTTCAGCCTTTGAAGAGTGTCTACATGGCTTTATCTCAATCGGACCAAACCAATACAAATATCTATTACATTCTCTTGTATTTCTTTAAAATTCTGAAAAGAATATTTTGTGCATTTGTGGAAGTTGGCACTTAAGAAACAATACATGCAAATAGATACTGTACTATTGTGTCTGCTAATTTTGTTTTTAATAGACAAAGGCCATATCAAAGTTCATTCTGCTTTCTTCATTCTTTTTTATGACTCATTATTTAGTTCTCTGCCAAATCTCTACCTTTTTGGCAAATACAAGGAGATGCAAAGAAACCCATTACACCAAAGAGAAGAAGAATTTAACAGAACCAACTGTAGCATGCCACTTCGTCTCTGTCTTTCTTTCAGTTAGGATGCCTGAAGTAATTTGGAGCCTCATAAAGACCCTATCGATACTGTCAAAACAGTTATTATCTACAGTACTCTGCCCGATGTCATTAGTGTAGCACATTGCAGCGACAGAGCAAGCTGTTCCGATAAGAGGAACGAACAAAGTCAAACCTGGGAGAAAGGGAGCAAGTCAAAGACCCTAAAAGGGACAATATACTGTACTGTATCATGGCCATTTGATGCTAATGCTGTACTAAATGACTGGGCTGATACTAAGTGATGCGAAATATGGGCCCAATTTTCAGTAGTGATGGGACAGTGAAGTGTGTTTTTTTCCAGATCCATATACACCCTGAGAGACAGGTCCAGGTGCATCTTCGTTTCAGTCTGTCTGCAGCACTACCTATGTCTTCCTGTCTTATTGTAGATCTTCTCTGAAAGAAATGGCCTGATGAACCGCAACCTTTTAACCTATGATTTTAGATTTGTTGACAATAGTGCAAAATCCAATTCAGGTCAGTAATGTTATCTTGAACAGTTATTGATTAAAATTTGTTTTCCTTTTAAACATGACTAATTACTTTACACATATACTGATTTAAATTACACAATTATCTTAACTACTGTATGTAGTAACATTAATGATATTCACTTAAAAAGCCAATACTATTAAGAACAGTTAAAAAGAAATGTGGCATTCCAACATTTACAGTTTTTAAATGCTTAAGGAATGGAGGAGGCGAGCATAAGTTGCTAACAGTGCACATACAATCTGAGCAAAGTTCCTTAGCAAACTTCACAGAACGTCAGGAGGAAAATTAATGAGAGGAGGCCATTATTTGGCCTGTTCGACTCATTTACTTCCATTTCTCTATACAGCTTGCAGCCCCAAAGCCAAGACTTGCTGTACTTGGAAAAAGTCCCAAGTATTAATCCCCCTCAAGTGGCCCTCATGCACCAGAAAGGAACAGGTTACAGCATTCAATCAAACCTAGCCTGCATGTGAAGTGGAAATAAATGGGAACTCCTGGCATGAATCCACAGGGACACTAGGAGAGCATGAAAACTCCATATCAATAGACGTCAGGCCATGGATAAATCTGTAGGGCGCCATATCTTGTTGTACCTCACATTTATATCATGTGCAACACCTTTCCATGCCTTCATTCAAGTGACTGTGTGGTTTGGTGATTACTTTTAAATTCAAAAGTAAAATTTGATTTATTTTTTTCTTCAGATGAGCCTGTTTGTGCGCCAGCTTCATTGTTTGTGCAGAGATGCAGTCTTGCCAATATCCTCAGCTGAACTGAAAACTGCAATTTTAAGACAGGTTGCAAGTTGCTTGCAGCACACAATGTGTTGCATCTGAATTGAGAATAAAGTTAGAGTTATACAGAAATAATCTTAGGGTAGCCAAGATCCACTGACAAAAAGGTCGTATGTAAATCTACTCTGTTCATTCACTTTCTGTTTTTGAAAAACTACATTAGATGCCTTCCTACCCAATCTGTACAGCTCACGATCAACAATGCATTCAGCTAAATCAGGAAATTATGCCTTTTAATTCAACACCCACCTAATCTGGAATCCCCAGTTGCTTTTAAGATACAACACTCTGACGACAAGCTCCGTCTTGGAAGGAGAACGAGACTTCTAGACACACTACTCTGATATTCTCAATCTTTTATCACAGGGTGCTAAGAGAGATTTAACTTTAAAGGTATGTAAGTATACAGTAATGCTATTTCTAGAGTGCAAACAGCAAGTGGAAATGTATTTGCTTTTGTTTCTTGGTTTGAAAAGTCTGATGTGTATCTCAAGGGCTGTGCGATAAAAAGAGGAAAACTGAATTGTACCAATTAAGCTTCAAACAAAAGGGATGGGTTTTTTTTGTCAGATCATGTCCCTTTTTAAGGCAGGAGGAGAAGAATGCCAACAAAATGCTAAGCAAACAGCAGTGATGTGACGTGATCACTGCTGGAAATAAAGGGCGGGGTCAGGTTGTGAAGCACATACAGTACACAGTGAGCCCCAAAGTTTCTGAATGCTCACCACACTCACACCACTGATGCCCCAAAGAGTCAGACTTGCTTTGACATTCCAGATATCAAAGCTTTGTGCCTGATCTGGATTTAAAATATCAGTTAGTGGTGGAACAACAATCCCAAATCTGTCAAGCTACACAGACACTTTCCAAAACTATGGTTTTAATGGACACTGATCAAGCCAAGTTTCTGCTCACAAAACTGATAGCTACTGGTTTTCTACTGATGGCTTTCTGGTTTTCATTTTATGTGCACTTAATGTGGCATTGTTTCACATTGTTAAACATTGCTGCCTTACAGAGCTGGGGCCTTGGGTTCAATTCCAGACACAGGGCACGATCTATGTGGAGTATGTACTGTATGTTCTCCCTGTGGTTGTGTGTGTTTTTTTTTTTGGTCAGGTGCAACCAGATTCCTCCCACAGTCCAAAGAATGGTATTGGTAGGATGGTTGGATTATTGGTAGGATAATTGGCTTTTGGGAAACTGGCCCTGTTGGTAGTGTGTGCGTGTCTGAGTTTGTATCTGTGTGCCCTGCAATGAACTGGCGTCTCATCCAGGGTGAATCCCACTCTTGCAAAATTGATAGTTTAGATATTACCTTTTTTTAAAATGTGTGAAAACTTTGTGGGATGTTTTAGAAGTGTGTTATGTGTTATGGG